AAATAGCATAGCCAAACATTAAATAATACATTATTCCCGATTTCAAAAATTCGTGAGAAGCCATTTCGAATATTCCCATTTTCGTACGACTTTAATCAGCCCAGATTTTAATTGAAATCACTCATTTTTCCGAGCGGCAACAGTCTCGCGCATTGGAGATAAAATGCTTTATTTCGAAAACTATTGCTACCGCTCGCTTTCAAATCGCATAGCTTGTTAATCAACAATTTGTAAGTTTTACAAAATCTATATAGAATACAAATTACAGAGTTTACAAATAGTTTTACAAAATCTAATAGAAGAATGCCTGTTTGTGTGTGTGTTTGTTCGCGTTATTGATTTCTGATCAATTGTGATCCACCTTTTGCCACATTTAATCAACTAAAATTGAATATAGGTGAAATATTGGACGGAACTTGAGATTTTACGATTATTTGATTAGAGAGACGAAAATCATTAAAAACTGCGTGTCGTTGCTATAAGGAGAGAGAATTAGTTTATTTTTCTATGGAAATTTCTTACGTGGGTTCCATATCGCATCAGACTGAGAAATATACGACTATGAATCGTATTCTTTGCATCGTTATCAGAGAAGGATTACAGCGGTACTCTATGGTTAGATTCATTACTCAGAATCTAACTTAACTGACATCGGGTACTTCCGCTAGTTCCAAAAGCGTAAACATCCAATAAACACTCTACAGAGAGAGGTTAAAATAAATCTGAAGTTCATAAATCCAAAAAATGGTTCAAGATATTAAAATAGAATATTATTTATAGTGGTCTTCACAAGCATATTTTTGCACAGAAGTAGTTTTAAAGAAAGAGAGACTTGCAATTTTACAGTAACTTCAGTTTTAGTAGCACGGCTGAAATTTTTTTACACAAATGTCACCTGAAGATTACATGGCTAAATTATAAATATTCTATGTGTGACCTTTTTCTAACACAATAATATCAATCCGATAGTCAAGGTTTTTCGACATACATCTTGTAGAGTCATTAGGTTAATTGGAAGCAGAAAAGATGAAAAATATGCAACCGCCTTCGCCGGGAATCGAACCACGGACCTCTGGAATACCGGCCCAGCGTGCTACCGTTACACCACGAAAGACGCTAGGGAAGTGGGAGAAATATCTTATAATCTTAGCGTTTCCATGCCAACAGTCGTAACACCTTGTAAAGTATATTTAAATTTTATAACAGTTATTTAATTTCGAAGCCGTTCCTATCAATTCTTGTTCCCACTTACAATTCCCTACCAGAATGAGTTTTTAGAATGGCGTTGAATGAAAATCAACTACAAGAAGTATTTAAGGAAGGTTCAACTTACTTCGATGGAGCGTGCTAGGAATTTTTAGTACCGCGTGTATGCCCTTGGGCTAAGTCACGCTTGAAGCTGTTACGCTCGGCCGTGTTATACGTGCCTATTGATATTCGCCGGTTAGTTTAATTTAAGGGCCAACTACGTTAGATAATTGTGTCTAGCTTCGGTTAAATCTCGTTTAGTTAATTATAGTTTAGTTTCTTATTCCTTATTCTCAGTTACAGCCTGATAAGAGGCAGACTGTTATTCTCATTTGAGTGAAATAAAGGGTATTTTAACCCTTCTCGAGTGTATGTTTTTAGTTGTTTGAACTCAGAGATAAGTCGCTACGTAGTTCGCCAGGTTCCTCGACTTTCATCTTAGACCAGAGTTTCTTAAAGTGCGGGAGCTGCAGTAGGGGGTCACCAAAAATTTTAGCAGTTTTGAAATTTCTTGAACTTATTTTATTATAATAATTTGACAATTACCAAATATTTTTAAGCACTGTACCTGAAAATAGATAAAGATAACACGATACAGACAAAGAGGGAAACGAAAACGTTTCGACGCATTTTTTTTAATAGTACAAACGTTCATTTTACTTGTTAAGTACGTGACGCTGTCATTTCGTCTGTTACTTATTTAAAATTTTCAAATTGTCCTATGTCTTAAAATTAAAGTAAATGACCTAAAACTGCAATAGTATATTACAATATAAATGAAAAAACTAACAGTTTCACTGACGCGTGTGTCGGGTTTGCGCAATGGTTATGGGGGTCCCGCAAAAGGTTGGTAAATATTAGGGGGGGTTTAGGATCGCGAAACAAATCTCAGTGATAAAAAGGGGGTGCGACTGAAAAAGGTTTAAAAATCAGCCTTTTGAATGTAATGAAGCCTTTTTTTTTTTTTTTTTTTTTTTTTTTTTTTTTTTTTTTTGTAAAGATTATCCAAACGTGTAGGAAAAAGAGAAACAAAACTCGGCTTATGGTATATCCTAAAGAGAAGGAGTCATATGGTGTTAAATCCGTATTTCTTAATGCCCAATAAGCCAAAGCCATCTTCTGCTCCGTTAACGGCCACCCACCGGCGGCCGAGCGGTAAAGTCGTTGAACACTGGTAGTTCGGTCCAGGGTACGAATTCCACTGGAACGTGCCAGCTGCATGTGCGTTTCCGCACATCTGCGTTTTGCCCATCTTTAATGTATAACTGCCGCAGGACATGGGTAGTAAGTATTAGGTTCCATGATGAATGCTAATGCTAGTATTGCAGAGTTATTAGGTTAATTGGAAGCAGAAAAGATCAAAAATATGCAACCGCCTTCGCCGGGAATCGAACCACCGACCTCTGGAATACCGGCCCAGCGTGCTACCGTTACACCACGAAGGCACTCTAGGGAAGTGGGAAAATTACCTTATATACTCCCCTTTTTAAAGGGCGACTAGGGTTTTAGGGGATTTAGTCGCCAAATCCTGGGTGCGGAGAATCATCATCCACAACCCTTTTAGTTCGGGCGCCACTTGTAGAGACATTAGTATAATTGGAGGCAGAAAAGATGAAAAATATGCAACCGCCTTCGCCGGGAATCGAACCACGGACCCCTGAAATACCGGCCCAGCGTGCTACCGTTACACCACGAAGGCACGCTAGGGAAGTGGGAGAAATACCTTATAGTATAACCTCTCCTCCCCATCCGCTCGGAGGGAGTTTAGAGGCTATGTGATGAACGCACTGTTGTTTTCTCCTTTAACTACAGGGGTTACAGGAGAAAACATCTTGGCAAAATCATCGCAGAGAAATCAACGCAAAGCGAAAACATCGTTGTGCAAAACACACGGGGAGAAAAGAAAGTGAGAAGAAAACATCGCAGTTCTGATACATCGTGGTACAACACACTGCGTCGAATTTGCGTTCAAAAACCTCGTAGTTTTAAAACATCGTCTTCGAAAATATCGTGGTAAAAAACAAGCACCTCGCTTGAGGATAACATGGCAAACAAGCGCTTTTTAGGTTTTAAAAACTGTAAATGCGTGTTCGCATAATGATTTGGGAGTGCAAGGAGGAGGAACGAGAAATCTTTTTATATTTCGCATTTTTGAATTAATAAATACATTTTTTGCTGAAGAAATAAGAAGGAAATTTAAGCATTCAAAAACGGAAAATGAGTACAAAATTAATGCTTCTTATACTAACAGAATGTTAAACTTACATAGTTAACTAACAAAGGTTAATAATTAACTAATATCTTTTATAAAGTTTTATTGTTAATTTTTGATGAAAAATGATTAGAAAAAGGAAACTAAGTAACTGCATGAGATTATTTCTACTAAAATTGTTTAAACAGTTATAAAATCGTATTCCTTCGCCTTCGTTAAACTAATGTTCTTTTAGTGATAACTAAACCTTACACTTCATTTGCCTTCTTATAATATAGTTAACTTTTTTATGTACAGAGTGCAGCTAAATTTCACGTATAGTGTGCAAATAAATTTATTAGTTAACTCAAAAATATGAAATATAAAAATGTTTTTTATTCCTTCTTGCGCTCACAAATCATCATGCGAATATACATTTACAACTTTTTAAGTCTGAAAAACGCATATCTGCGATGTTATAGTCATGATTTTCGACGATAATGTTTAGAACTGTGATGCTTTCGGCAAATCTTTGGAATATGGTAACAGGTAGTTTGGCGACATTTTGGTAAGGCGATAAAGGTTACTAGGTAGGCCTTTAGCAATAATCTGAGAAGTACACAGTTCGAATCACAGATTATTTTGTCTCAAAGAAATGAGAGATTATGAGACATGTCATGTGACATTTTCCTGAAAATTCCGATCGTGATTTTAGCTAATAAGCACTTAGAAACTATTTCGCTGCTAAGGTGCAGAATCGCTCACTTATTTGTTTGGCGCTTTTTACAAGAGTAAGAAGAATTGGATTTTTGTCAATTTTCTTTGACTTTTTAAGTGAAAATAGGTCGATGTGTACATGGATAAAGTCAAGCGTGTGCGCAATGCCATTTTTGTGCAATTCTGGGATTTTTTTAAGTGAAAATAGGTCGACGTGTACATGGATACCGCGTATGTGCAATTCTTAAAAACGCGCGAAGCAGTGGGCGATTCTGCACTTTCTCCCAATTTCGCACCTAATCTTCGTCATAATTAAGCACTTTTGTTCCATAAAAGTTCTAGCATAAGCGTAATTCGGCTAGCAGATTATTGGGAAAAATGTTGAGGGAAAAAAAAATGCATGCATGGCGCCCCCCTTCAGAAAAAACAAAACAAAACTAGCAGGTTTCTGTAGCAGGGTTGGTCGCCAAATTTTCTCCAAAAAATCGCCAAGTTACATAATTCGAAGATTCACCATGCGTTGTTCACCTTCTTGCGTTGTTCACTCCGCGACGTTTTCATCCGCAATGTTTTTGCCAGATGTTTTCGGCGGACACCACTACAGGTTGGATACCTATCGCGTGACAGCAGCAACCAATATCAATCTGCGCTCATGGGTCTTTCTGTCACCAGACATTGCCATCCATGATTCTAACAGTATTCATTCTTCAACAGTAATTCATTTCCTTCAGCAACTGAAGAAAGCCTCGCGGACAAATAAAGGAGGGCGGCATCAAAACTGACCACTTTTTATATTGTTTATCATAGAAAAATATTTAATATTGGAAAGTGTTGAAGAACTTACCTTGGAACATTTGAGGAGAAGAGTTCTGAGAATGTAGTCTGAGCACTTTTTGAAACTAATGAGCGTCACACTGAAGTAGCTAATCTCCAAGGGTTTACCGTCAGACCAATAAAGAGCACATTTTTCCTATTAGGGGTAGAATTCATTTATTATAAATCAAGTATGTTAACTTATCTTAAATCAGTTAAGTCAGATTAGGGGTATAACTCATTTATTACAACAATTATGTAACTAACATATTAGTTAACATATCTGAGTTATAAGGAATTAATATAATTCCTTATAACTCAGATATGTTAATCTATAGTATATATATAAGCGAAATACCACTGACTCATCACGAGATCTCCGAAACCATATATCCCGATTCACTTGAAATTTTACATACTTACTCATTATATGATGTAGACGCGCACTAAGAACGGATTTTACATAAATCTTGTTCAAAATGGATTTTTGTTATATAATAGAAGTTTCTCATACATTTGGTTTTCAAATACAATTTCAGAATTTTCATTTATTATTGCCAAAACTAGATATGAAATACAATGTCGCCAATGAATGCATTTTCCTTTAAAATGATCATACTACATCACGAAAATTGGTAAATAACTTGCATCTATCTAATGAATACAAATAAGATTTAAATGATAAGGTTAATAATAACATTTATATGTAACTGTTCTCATAAGTTTTATGAAAATAAATGTTATGATTAAGAAAAATAAATTATTGTGATGAAAAATAAAAATGTTGTTGTTATTTATAAAAATTACCACACATAAAGAATCAAGGACAAATAATTGTAATTGATTAAAAAATTTGATAACAAAGATAATAACATTATGATAACAGTTAAATATATATAAACCTTAGTTTTATGTTAGGAAATTTTCGTGATGTAGGCCTACTGGGGATCCCCCAACGTTAAATAATGGCGACGCATCCTAATACGCAGTACCTCATGGGTGATGTGGAAATCTGTGCATGACAGATTCACCAATTAGCACTATATTTCCCGACTTTAAATTAAAAAAAATTCACATTAATTATCAGTTCGAAATTAGACATTTCGTCCATATAAGAAGTCTAGTTTCACATTCATATAGATAGTGTGCCCAGAAAAGCGGGCGGGTATCAGCTAGTTCATTATAACTCAGATATGTTAATTCATTATAACTAAGATATGTTAATTCATTATAACCCAGATATATTAATTCATTATAACCCAGATATGTTAATTTATTATAACCTAGATATATTAATTCATTATATAACCTAGATATGTTAATTCCTTAAAACTCAGATATGTTTATTTATTATAACTCAAATAACTCGGATTATAACTCGAATATGTTAATTCGCTATAACTCAACTCAGTATAATTTAAATAAATTATACCGAGTTAAATAATGAATATAAATTCCAATATATTTAAGTTATAATACATATTATAACTCAAATATAGTCATTCATTGTAACTCAGATATTTATTATAACTTAGATCAGATTCTTAATCTTATATATATGCGGCTTAAGTGTTTGTCGCCGATAGTTTATTGGTTGCTTGCGTAACTGTAAATTGTTTTATTCCCCGTGCAGTGCAGCGCGTGACGAATATTATGAGAAAGCTAAGCCGGAAAAATTAAAAAATGAAAAATAAAAATACAAGAGCACGTGCATTTAACATTTAATAAATAAATTTAACATCTACATATAATAGAATTTGGAAATTTGCAACAGGCAACGATGAAAAAACAAAAAAAATGAAATAAATAAATTTCTTTATTATATGCAGCTCAAGTGTCTGTTTGTCGCCGATAGTTTATGAGTTGCTTACGTAACTGTACTAGCCAATGGGGTGAAGTTGCCACGGCACAGCGTTTCAATCGAGACGTAGACAATTTCCTGCAAAACTTGCCTTTGCTATGACCATCCATAAGTATCAGGACCAAACGCTTAAACGTGTTGGCAGTTTTTTACCTGAGCCTGCATTTGGACACGGTCAGCTTTATGTTGCCTGTTCAAGAGTTCGTGAAAGAACAGACGTAAAATTAAAAATAATGGATGGTCCTCTGCAAGGCGAGCTTAAAAATGATGGAAAGATCTACACAAGAAATGTTGTTCACAAAGAGATTATTGACATTCGAATTAACATGGCATTATTTAAATCACCTTTATTTATTGAGCTAGCTGTGGCTAAGAAATGTACCGCCAGTGGTTTCCTTCATTGCACTCTACTTTAAGCAATTAAGCAAGTAGAAAGTGAAAATGTGTTATAAAATTCAACTTCTCATCGATGAAAATACCAAGATATTTTAAATTATCAATAAATTGGATGCTTTTTTGATTAAATTTCAATTTTGGATGTCTAACCTTTTTTCCACTTTGAGGAAAAATAGACTGTTAATTTTTTGCGAAGTTAAACGAAATCTGTTCTTCCGAACTCCATTTTTGAAGGCAGCTTCGAGATCATGAAAAGAATGTTCTATTTTCTCAAATAAATCACCTACAATAACTGCCAAAATATCATCTGTATAACAAACAATTTCTATACTCACAATGTTGTTATGCAACAATTTCTTAACTATAAGGCTCCAGAACAGGGGAGCACTACAGGAACCTTGGGCACATTTACGATTAATTTTATATTTCAAATTTATTTCTTCAGTGAGTGTTACCATTAAAGATAATAATTCTGTTATACAAATAATTTTTAATAACATCAAAAAATTGTTTGTTAATGCGAATTTCTTTTAGGATGGAGAGTAAAGAGGACCAGCGTATGGAATCAAAAGCATCCTGGACATAGAATGAAACTAGGGCTACACGTTGTTTATCCTTTTTATCCCTGATCAGATGGACAACCTTATGCAACGCCAATTCGGCTGATTTACATTTCTGGAAGCCATATTGACTCTCTCAGATAAATTTTTTATTTGCTAAAATAAAGTCTATCCGGTTAGTTAAAAGTTTATCCAAGATTTTTGCAACTTAATGAGTACTTAATGAGCAAATCATTACTCACTTCATTAGGTTCCTCGACATTTTATTGTAGACAAAGTAGTGAGGAACATTAAAAAGCATTCCGGTCAATTAGTCAAATTTGTAATATTTTTAGTTTTTCAAAACGAACATAAATTTTTCAAAATATAAGTACACGAACCGGAGGACTGCATTAAAACTTAGATTTCGTTATGTGTCCAAAATTATTATTTTTTAAAATTTGACATTGACAAAACATGAATATTTTCGCCATTTAAAACACTTCTGTAAGTGAACGTATATGACTACGACCAGTGATTACGAAAATAAAGGCCGGGTAAAGTCAATTGCAATAACAATGGGAGGTGCAAAACTAGATGTTATAGCAGTCCAGTGTACAAAATTTCAAAGTTCTGGGGATAATCATTTTTGAGTTATGCATGACATATACATAAGTACGCGATGTCACAAAAAATATTTTTGAATCCATTTTAAATCCGTTTGGGAATAGAATCCTTTATTCTGTCCATACGTACAGATATCGCACGCACACCCACACCCACACACACACACACACACACACACACAAAAAAAAAAAAAAAAAAAAAAAAAAAAAAAAAAAAAAAAAAAATTCTTCCAATTAGATTTGGGAACGGGCAAAATGGATATTTCCGTTTAAATTTGAGACCCAAAATTTTTCGCGATTGCAATACTTCCTTACTTCATAGAAGGAAGTAAAAAGGTTTATCAAATATATACTTTTCGCCCACCAGCGGCCGAGCGGTAAAAGCCGCTGAATACTAGCAGTTCGGTCCGGGTTAGAGTCCCGGCGAACGGGCTGGCTGCATGGGCATTTTCGTAGTTTTTCCCATATGTGACGTGTATAAGAGCCAGTTTTCCTTAAAAAGACCTCCACAGGGCATCCCTCCGTCAGTGCCTAAGGGCGAAGCATGTAATAAGTAATAAAATATGTATCTTTTAAATTTTTGAATAAGATATTTATAACAATATAAATTAACTAGGGTTATTTGTAAATTTTCTGGGGCATTACTCATGTTCGTTTACAATGGCAATGAAAATAATATAAAACTGGAATAAAAATAATTAAAATTTTAAACCTCTTTTTTTTTTTTAAATTCTTGCTGTGGTAATTATTGCTATAATAGTGGCAATTAATTTATTGGAAATATATTCGGCAATATGCGTCCCGCGGTATGCCAGTCTGAGAGATCACTGCTTTATAAAACATAATTATTTTAATAGTTATTAAGAATAATTCTTATTAATTACCGTCTTAAAATCACCTATAATAACTGCCAAATTATCTTAATAGTCATTTACCTCTCCGTTCTCCTCCAAACCAGTGAGCATGACGATGACAGACACACCTTGCTGCCAGACCATGCGCCAGAAGTCGCATACAGTGTTCCGCAGCGGTGCCTGGGCGCATATGTAAAGCTTCCGCTCTCGGTAGCCCTGAAAAGAGGAATTTGCCTTAATTCATTAATCTGAGTGATCATCATAATCTTCTTCTTCCTACGTAATTTATTAAAAAATCTCTCGTGCTCATCTGTTCATAATTTAAGACTTTCTACGAGAGAATGAGGAATTTAATTAAGCATTTTATTAAGGAAATTTAATTAAAACATAGAAGGAATAGTTGCATTTTCATTATGCGGGAACTTAATAAAGCATTTAGGGTATTATTAGTACAAATTATGAATAATTTTAACAGATAATAAAAAATGATTTTAACAGGAGTATTTAAACAATATTAAAATAAGCATATTTCTGTTCACAAAACATTCGTAAGAAATACGAAAAATTCGTTAAAAGTAAATTATTTAATTACGTTGTAAGGTTACGTTTATTTAAAATTAACCTGTTATTTATAATTTTAGCCTTTAGTATAACTTCTTCTGGCACTTTTCCGTTTCTCCGGCGCAGGCGATAAAGTCGCCAATAATGGTACAACTGATGCCAAACGGAATATTCTCGATGGTAACCTTTTAGGCCTCATTTTCAAAACAAGTCGCAGCCATTTCTTATCAGATCAATTGTTTCTTTCAATACTTGCATACAATTACATAGAATTTTTACCAGATAGTTAAATTTTACGCCCTAAGGCCATTCGCGGTAATTTACACGTTCAGCGCCATGCGTATGTTTTAGGCAATCCCGTTCAGGCAACGCACGTCGCTTAAGGCGACTCATACACCTTAAAACCCATAACATGTTCGAATAGGTGACTGTTGCGAGAATTGGGATAACTTATTTATTTTAAAAGCAATTACTACCAACGTTTTACAGCTGTCTACATAATATAGTGCTATCTGAAATAGTAAATCAGAAAGTTTGTGTTGCCACAATATTTTTATAATTTAATCCGCTTTGTGACAACATTTTCGTCATGTTTCCCAACTTGCGCGCACAGTTTAAAACATTCTGTTTCATAATTTGATTCCATATTTAATATATAGCTTTTATAACATTGGAAACTACGGTGAACCTAAAATTCTAAAAATTTCATGTTAATTTTATTTTATTTTGAGTTGAGTTATAAAAGCATTTTATTAAAAAAAATTTAATATTTTCGCCCATAAAACTTTTCAATATTAAAATTTCAAAGGTTGTTGGTTCAGTTAGAAAATAGTGCCCATAAAGATTCTATCAAATTTCAAATATGTACCATTAGCCATTTTTAAAAATCATGGCGCAAGGTGGAAACACGGCGAAATATTTTGTCACAAAGAGGATTAAATTACAAAAATATTTGTGGCAACACAAACTTTATGGTTAATAGTTTCCAAAACAGCTATATTATGTAGTCAGCTGTAAAAAGTTGGAAGTAATTGCTTTTAAAATAAATAAAATATCTCAGTCCTTGCAACAGTCACATATTCGAAGATCACGAGAGGTTTAAGGTGTATGAGTCCCCTTAAAAGCGCTGGTATTGTAGGGCCAGTGATTGGTATCGCGGTAGAAGATAGTTACAAGTTGTGAAAAAGAAGACATTCCATCGACCCAAAATGCAAGAATATCTAAAAAACGACAACATAAACTCCGAAGAAAACCGGGAAAAGCCTCTGAAGTACGAAACTATTGTAAATTATGTTATGATAAAAATGCAACAGAAGCTGGTAGAGTAATGGCCAGAAAAAAGACTAAAAGAGTGTTGTCACATTTTTTAATAGCCGTAAAGGAAAACCGTTTTTATATTTACCTTGTTTCAATGAAATCCAATGAATCAAAATCAAATCATGAATCAAAATTAAGTAAATTTTAAATAAATTTTGTGTCATTTCATAAAACAGTGTAAATTTTATAGTTATATATCATGTTACACGCTGTCAGCCAGCGGCGGTCGACGAGGCCTAAACGAAAAGGTCTAGTGTCAGTCACAAATGGCTGACGCGACCTAAAAGGAAAGTTTAGTGCAGCCACAGATGCAAGGAAAGACAGTGTTGTCAGATTTGGTACGAAACAAAACATTTGGCGACATGCAATTAACGGAGCGAGAACATTCCAGAACGAATTCTTACCAATTTTCCTGAGAATGTTCTCGAAGGCAAGTCAATAGCTATATATATCCTGCCTGTACGCGGAGTAGAAGTGTATCTCGAGTAGTATATTGAGTTCAGTTGTGATGCTTTGAGTTCAGAGATTAGCTTGAGAGCGATCGAACGGAATGCGCTTTAGTGCTTTGCCTTGAAGCTGTCTTCACTGATATAGCCTGAAGGCTGTGCTTCTGATTGTTTCAGCGTGTTTATCGTAGTTTTTTGACGACTGTAATGCGTCTTAGGAACTGTCCTGTATAATACTTGACGAATAAATTGTGTTTTGATGCTTCATCAAGTGTTGTTGTCAATCACTCCAAATCCACGAACCCGTAGAACGCAACAATACAACACAATCAAAAATGAACACTAAGATTACTAGCAATGAAGATATATATAGAAGATATATTGCTTCAAATACACGGTTTTGACTATTTGATCATTTTTAACTTAATATACCTTACAAATGGAAAATAAATTTATTATTAACAAAAAATATTTAGCATTGAATAATAAATCTAAACAAGTGTTCGGAAAACTAACATCAATAAATGACAAAAGTATTTTATAATACACCGTATTCCCCCCTTATTTTTAACTAATTTTAAATCGAGAGGGGAAAAGTATACCAGTAATTTAATATCCGAAGTACCCGGTTTCAATAAGAATATAAAAATGAATTGATTACTATCACAATATTATTTCTTTAAAAGAAACCTACATTCCAAAAAACACTATGTAGTAATATTAACATTACAATATTTATAGAATATCTGGCAGTAACTGAGCCACGTGTCGGGAAACAATATCTGATTGTTGAAAACAATATCTGTCATTCTAACGATTGCAGATGTAACTGGGAACAGCTAACATTACTTCTTCAAAAGACCAAAATTACCAATTATCGTGTAAAAATGGTTAAATCACTGCAACTTAAAAAAGAAAACCATTATAACTGTTACTGAAGTTAATACTCAACGGAAATGCAGCTTCTTAGAGAAATTGAAAATTCACATATTGATCTTCATATTACACTTCTATGCAAAATTAAGAGAATTTGCTAACGGTGTCCATTTTTATGAAAAGTATTGAACTAAAAGTACTAACTATGATACCGAAGAATTGGGAAAATATTAACAGTCGAATTCGTAAGCGTATACATGCGTGTCGGCGGAGCGGATGGAATAGAAGCGCACGAGGAGGTTTTGAGTGACTTGTGTGGTCGTACTTCATGATATTCGCCGTGTTTCTGGGGAAAATTAGGTTAATTTTATCAGATAAAATGAGTAGGTTAAACGCATGATGATGGAGGGAGATGGAAAATCGTCGGTAGACTGCAGGCAAGGCAGCTTAGGTGTCTACAGAGCTCAATGTAACGCCCAGTGCCGTGTGGAATTCGTGGAGACAGTTTCAGGGACTGGATCCATATCGAGAAGACCTGGACAAGGTCGACCAAGATTGACAACGACGAATGGGGATCGTTATTTTTCACTTTCAGCGGGGCGATTCAGAACTGTTATAGCTTCACATATGAGAGCTGTAACTCGGGTTTCTATGATGCTGTCACAAGAACCCGAATTCCACGGTCTACAATGGCTCGAAAGCTTCATGAGATAGGGCTATATGACAGAACATCCACTGTTTTCGTGATGTTCACTGCAGCATCTAAGACAGTGGGTTTAGCCTGGTGCAGACAGCATGCGCCTTGGATAAGAATTCAAGGGAGCATCGTGCTTTTACAAATGAGTCGAGATTCAGTCTGGGTACTGATTCTAGATGTACCTATATCTGGAGAGAACATAGAACACGACAATATCCCTGCCTCGTCAGGGATAAGGATAATTCAGGTGGTGGAGAGGTAATGGTTTGGGCAGGTATTATGTTGGATAGCCGCACAACCCCTGTGTATATTAGACTAAGGCTCCCTGACTGCTATGGAGATTAGTTAGATAGTTAGAAGACGGGCGCAGCTTAGCAAGCCTACAGAATGTGAATACATTTTATAGCCAAAAATGGGCTGCACCCGAGAGAGCATTAAGAGGGATGATGGAGGTAGGAAGAAAGTAAAACATAATAATAATAAAAACAAAGTAAAACATAATAATCGCAAGTACGGAACTTATCACATCTACACACACACATCTTAAAAAAGAAAGGAAAAGAATCTGATGTGTACACCACATGACTTCCTTGTACGGAATATTAAATTATACGCATTTTTTCTTGCATTTCATTTAAACTTATTGGATTGAATTAAATCTACTTCGCCGACAGCGCATAAACCACAATAGAATAAATGCATTCTTTAAAATTCACTCAGTATTTGTTTAGCATAGCGACATTCTGGCGCTAGATTCACTTAACAGTATTATATTTGTTCATATTATAACTCATAATGCACAAAATTTATATCATTTAAAGAATAGAATTATCTAATCGTAGCCACATGTTCTATTCAAATACTATAATAAATATAGAATGATCTATGAAAGAAATTAAGCAAACAAAACAAAAAAGAAACAGTTTTTCACAGACGATTGAGTATTTCTCATCCAGTTAATTCAGTTCTCACTTCGCGGAAGACAAAAATACATAAAACTCAAAATATCTATATTAAAAATACGAAGTAAATTTTAATATAGATATTATAATATAGATATTCCAGAAAGGATAAGCATGATTTAATTGGCAATAATAAATGAAGGCGTTATCTTTGTTGTTGCGAAGCTAAGTTACTCCAGATTGGCAACAAATCCACTAGTCTGCTGTTTCAAATGTAAACAATCAATAGCCGCCGTCAAAAGAAAAGGCTTAGCTGCACTTAAACAACTTTAAAATTGTTGATAATTCTAAAAATATTGCACACAGATTTACTAAAGGCATAAAAACCTTAACCGGAAGATAAAAACAACATAATTC